GTTATTCCTATTTCATGTCTAGAGAGTATAATGATATTGATATAACTTTGTGGGTTATTCCTATTTCATGTGTAGAGAGTATAATGATATTGATATATCATTGTGAGTTATTCCTATTTCATGTCTAGAGAGTATAATGATATTGATATATCATTGTGAGTTATTCCTATTTCATGTCTAGAGAGTATAATGATATTGATATAACTTTGTGAGTTATTCCTATTTCATGTGTAGAGAGTATAATGATATTGATATAACATTGTGAGTTATTCCTATTTCATGTCTAGAGAGTATAATGATATTGATAGAACTTTGTGGGTTATTCCTATTTCATGTGTAGAGAGTATAATGATATTGATATAACATTGTGAGTTATTCCTATTTCATGTCTAGAGAGTATGATGATATTGATATAACTTTGTGAGTTATTCCTATTTCATGTCTAGAGAATATAATGATATTGATATAAGTTTGTGAGTTATTCCTATTTCATGTGTAGAGAATATAATGATATTGATATAAGTTTGTGAGTTATTCCTATTTCACGTGTAGAGAATATAATGATATTGATATAAGTTTGTGAGTTATTCCTATTTCATGTGTAGAGAATATAATGATATCGATATAAATTTGTGGATTATTTCTGTTCAATTTATAAGTCAGTCTAGCTTTCTAAGCTGTTTCACAATTTGGTATAACAATCCATCATAACCCCATCCTTTCTTTTTAACTTTGTAAAGCTCTCAATTTTAGTATAACCATTTACTTTGGAGCCTACTCCGGGCTTTATAGAAGTTGTTTTAAAGTATTGCGCTTGTATCATGTATGCGAGTGCCGTTTGTTGTAATGACAACTCTTATTGTACGATCAGTTTTCTAAACGTAGTTAAATAATTTAACACATTATAGGCTAACAAGGCGATCTTGTTAAAACTGATATTCTTATCTTTTAGTTGAGAGTTTATGATAAATGTATGGAATATATATTTATTATCATAATAATACACAGGTTTTGTCTGTCCTGGGAATGCGTACGCACCTTAGTATGTAAATGCGTATGTGCACGCACTTCATTTTTAAATGGATGTAAACTAAAGGGAATGTAAATAAACCTTAGTAGACATTTTGTACAAAAACGTATTAAAAGGTTACCAAAGTTTTTAAAAAGATTTATCAGTAGGTTGTCGACTAGATAACATTATAAGTTTATTTATTGAAAGTATTAAGTACGTTAAAGTTTAGCCTTCACTAAACTATAGCAAAAAAACGTACACAAGCTGCAGTGTTAAACTATGGTTAGTCCTAAGACATGTAGACTTATAGATTTCGGTGTCTACGATTACAATGTTTTTGTATTTTCTAGAAAACTTGTATTTAAGAAAGTATTTTTGTAATAAAGATGCTAATTGGACCGTATATGTTTTGCAAGTCTCTGTTAGTATATAAATAAATAAATATATATATATATATTAAAGTGCTCCTCCATAAATTTTGTGATGCAGAACGAATTTACAACTTATCCTGTTTTTTTTTGCATACGTCCAACTAGAACAGGTGTAAACTATGTTGTTTATGTGTGAACTGTCTTGAATTATATGTATGTTTATGTTATACTTATCAGTTTAGTATCAAATAAAGGTTTGTCATTTACAAGTAAATATCAGTTTTCAATTTACAGAACCACAAGATCTATGCTGGTGTAGAAAAGAATGACATGCAAAAGTTTGTTCCAGTCGGCGGTAAGAAATACTTCTTTACTCTCTATACCTTGTTTAGTACTAGCTGGAGTATCTGGACGGGATTAATGAAAGGTTATCTTAGGACATGAAAAGTTGCTTCCTTTATATGTAATTGTAAAATACGCCCATAAAAACTGCGAAATAAAATATGAAACCGCAAATGTGCATGTACCTCGCATGGACCTAACAAACTTTCATGCCAAATTTGGTGAAGATCCATCAACAGGGAGCGAAGTAGAAGTAAAAAGACGCTAAAACGCCCATAAAACTGCAGAATGCAAAATGCAAATTGAAAATTTGTTTGTATCTCTCCATGGACCCAATGAACCTCCATACCAAATTTGGTGAAAATCTATCTACATGGGGCGAAGTAGTGGTAAAAAACTCAAAAACGCCCATAAAAACCGCAAAATATAAAACTAAATATTTGTATGTACCCTCGGATGGATCTAAAGAACCTACATACCAATTTTGGTGAAGATCCATTCACATCCTGCAAAGTAGTTACATGGACAAACAACAGACAGTACTACTATATTTATATATATTCTACAAAAGGTTTGGGTGCAATATACCAAACCGATTCTGATGTAGGCTGGCAAGAGAATAATAATAATAATTACAAACGGGGCGTTTAGACCGGATTTTCTTTTCCCTGTAGGTCTAACAGGCGTGCTTTTTTTGTGTGTATTGTTTATGTGTACAGCTTTAACATTCAATAGTAAAGGTTTTAAAGTGTTATTTGAAATAATTCTTCATCGTTGAAGGTACTTTTTGCCCGAATGTTCTATCAAGGTTTTGTGCAATTCCTTGCGATCTCTATTATGAACCACTATACTGCTTCACGGTAAAAAAAAAATAAATGAAAATATATGTGAGAAGATAAACTGATTTAAATTGAATGAAGTAATAAAAAACAGGTCTTATGTGCATAGCATTGTGGTTAGCTTATAGGACTGGGAGACCAAGGACCTTAGCTTCCAAACATGGTGCTATTAAAAGTGCTTCGCACTTTCAGCTGTGGGTGCGTTATAAGAATGACAGCCAATGCTGCTATTCGGACAAGAGTAGTCACGTCAGGTGGCAGTTGCTCTGGCCCGATACCTTCTTTCATAATTAAAGAATCTATACCTGAACCATAGAGGTGTAGCCGTTAAGCCCATTATGTTCCTAAGGTATTATTCATCAACAAATAAGGTGTTGGTAAAATAAAGTTAAGTGTAAACTTGCTTTTTAAAACCTGTTATATCTTGTTCCACTATCTTCAGATCAGTTTTATAACAATTAGATTTCGATGGTAAAGTATAATCTCGTAGTAAACAATCTTTTTTTTTATTGCTGTAGTTGGAAGGTTGTGTGAATGGAAACACAAAACGGTTGACATGGCAGCAGAGTCCAGTACATTCATGGATTACAAGCAGACCTTGAATATATTCTGTGATAGTGGCGAACCTGGAGAATTCATTTGGACTCCTGACAAAAATACACCAGATCTTGTCTACTATCAGGTACTTAGCTGATTCTTAAAATACCTGTTTTCACCTTGCGTTTACATCTGTACGGTATAGTGTCCCGTGTCTGTGTGTCTAACGAAAATCTTTCCACTTTCTGACTTCTCATCACCATTAAACTTTCAGAGGATTTTGTGTGTACCATAGACACAATGATTGAAAATGGTGGAACTCCCTTTTGTGATCTACTTTGACATTCGAAACAGATGATACTAAGAACGATAGCTTGAATGCTGAAGAGGCAGAACTCCGTTTTTCAGAACTTAGCCTTTGCTCAGAGGGATTCTAAAGCCTCTTTCGTTATTAATTTGTACAAGTTTGGAATTCATTTAAATCATCTTTCTCGCTATTATCTTAGTGCTGGCGAATGACGCACACCCACTCTGTTCCCGAGAAGCCAACCAGAAGGGGTAGGGGTCACGGTTCTGCACTTTATAACGTTATAAGAGTAACAGTCAAATTCCCCAGTTCGATTAGAGTAGTGAAAGAGAGAGTGGTAAGTACTGATAGCTAGCTGCTTTCCCTGTTGCCTGGCAGCTCCAAATTAAAGATGGCTAACGCAGATAGACAACCCTTGTCTAGCTTTATTCAAATATCCGAAATAAACCTAATCAAAATTAACTATTTCACATATTCTCAGAAAGGTTTGAGTAGTAATTTATAACATCATGTTGTTTGGTTTAATAAAACAAACGAAAGAAAACTACCAAATCCTGAGTTACTTTTTGTTTCAGAATTAATGTGGTAAAACTTTTAATCAAGCTTATAGAACTGTCAGTACCGACACTTTTGAGGATCAGAAAAAGTTTCAGAAATGAATAAATTCTGTGCTAATTTTGTGGACACCAAAGACTACGAATCTGCCGCCCTTTATATTCTGGTCGAAAGAAACCAATAGTAGTTTTTCCCTACACTAGACGACTTTCCGTGATAAAATATATTCAAAATTCTAAGTGAAGTACGTTTACAAACTGAAACTCGCTTTAAGAATAACGAATTTCTTTAGATGTAAAGCTGTAGTATAGAGGTTGAATATATTAACATGATTTTAGAGCCTCACCGCGTCCGTTCATGCTCTATCTGACGGCGGTGCACAAAAGCCCTGCAGAGTCATAGCAAAAGGCTCCGTCACAAGGCTGTCATGTCAAAAGCACATCACTCCCTCTTGATGTATTCCATAAGCCATCTAGCATTCGAAGGCAACGATTTTCCAGAACTCGTTTCAACAGTGTGATCACATATAAATGCATGGGCGCTATGACTGTCGATATGATCTGTATGTCTTTCCATGGTTTGTTTGTTGAATTTTACGCAAAGCTACTCGAAGGATATCTGCGCTAGCTGTCTGTAATTTAGAAACTATAAGTTAGAGGGAAGACAGCTAGTCAATACCATTCATCATAAGCCCTTGGGTTGCTCTAATCGAACAGATCGATTGGTCATAACATTATAATGCCCCTATGGCTTAAAGGGAGAGTATGTTAGATGATGAAATTTCAACTAGCGACTCAAAAATTGCGAATCGGTCACTTTGACCACCATGTCATGTTAGACCATCTTTCTATGGAATAACAGAACACCCGTTTCATTCTCCGATCGTTGAACGGATATGTTATGGTAGCAGCTTGTGTACCTGTGACTTGTGAACCTTTCCAGACGGAGATCTTTCTGGAATATGTTGCACACTGTTGCTTGAGACACGAATATGACTTTTCCTATTGATCTATAAAACGTTGCACTTTGCTTACCACAGCAAAGATACAACTTGTTGCAGGTCTCTTTCTGAATCCATCACTAAGTAAGCGCTCAACCAATAGAATAATACAATGTACGAGAATAAGTCCGGAAAGTGGTTAATTATAGCTCATAATGTATAGACTAAGTGTAGAGTTACAGTCGAAACTGACATCTTTACTGTAGTAAAAAGAGCTGAGAACGTAACGCAGTAAATAACTCGGGATATTCTAGTTTGGATTGGCAATTTTAAGCCTGCTTTAAATAAATAACTCGAGAGAGAATTTAACTTTAAATCAGTATAATTCTGCTTATCCTTTTGTACCATTCAAGCTGCGAGATTGTTCCAATTTCTTCTTTAATCTTTTTGTCTTAGTTTCAGTGTTAGTGAAAAAAACCATCTTTCTTTCTTGTTCGAATCAGAAAGCTAGATGTAGACTAGCTTATAAGGTTATTGGAGTGTTTGTAGTTTAGTTATCTTTGACTGGCACTGTTCATTACGTATAATTTCATGGGTGAAACTCTATTCCAGCAAATTCAGTTCAGCATGTTTCTCATAGATAAGTGTAATCATGCCTTAATAATGTTTACTTTTATCATTTCAGTGCTACACACACAAAAATTTAGGCTGGAAAATTCACGTGACAGGCAACAGTGATCGTCTTCACCCACTACTGTTCATGTGTCTGGTGCTTGCCGTTGTGCCCATCATCTCTCAAGTTAAGAGAAAATAAGGGATGTCTGTTTTTCACCTTTAGTTTTCTAATGGAATATAATCTTGTAATTAAGCCTATTTTATTTTATAACATCTTATTCATTGCGCGCATTTGATGAGTTACATTGGAAATGTGTCTTGAAAGTAAATTACAAAAAAAATATATTGTGGTAAAAATTAATTTTCATTCGTACAGACTTCACTGAAATTAATGTGAAAAGAATTTAGTAAATTTTAGATTCAGTGTTTTTGTCGTTAGATATTGAAGTTTCATTCGTAAAGAATTCACTGAAAATAATGTCGAAATGGCTTAATAAATGCTAGACCTTTGTCGCTAGATATTAAAGTTTCATTCATACAGACTTCACTAAAAATAATGTCGAAAGGGCTAAGTAAATTCTAGATTCAAAAGACCTTCGTCGCTAGATATTAAAGTTTCATTCATACAGACTTCACTAAAAATAATGTCGAAAGGGCTAAGTAAATTCTAGATTCAAAAGACCTTCGTCGCTGCAACTCTCACCTTCTACTCGGATGACTGGAATATCTAGAGCATATTATTTGTAGCTACCTGTCATGGTTAACCTAAGGCTAGTTGCTGCCCTAGGCAAAATTTTGAAATGCTGTTTCCAACGGAACCAGTCTCTATTATCATAGGTTAATATATATAGATGGGGAAAAATTAAAATGTTAACAGAAAATAGGGACCCTTGGTTATTTGCAGAACAGCTATAAGAAGTATCCTAACAAAATAAATGCTGCAATAAAAGCACACAAACAATTAAAGTGATACTAGTTGGTTAGATTTTAAAACGATTTTCAATCCCTAATTTGGTTGGCATTGTGTTCCGTATAGATAAATGTAGGGATTGAAAACCGTTTTAAAATTAATCCTACTAGTATCACTTTACTTGTTTGTGTACTTTTTATTGTAGCATTTATTTTGTTAGGATACTTCTTATGGCTGTTCTACAAATAACCAAGGGTCCCTACTTTCTGTAAACATTTTAATTTTTTCCCCTATTTACTTGTTCAGTTTTTATGTCCATGGAATGAGCACAACATCTATAAACTTTCAGTATAGCCATATCCCTTATAGCTATAACTTTTACAATAGTTAAAACCACCTTCACAAATTTACAAAATTTAATCCTTACTTTGGCAGCTTTATACACACATTGCAAACACATTCTTAGAAAGTAAACTGAGTAATATATTAAAGAAAAAATCAATATATACTATTTTAGATAAGAAACCTAAAGTGAATCAAGCACAACGTAGAACTTGACTTAAAATATTTTAATTCTAATGAGTTTACCTGATTATTATCAAAACGCCATTGAAAGTTTTGAACACAAACAACATCGCGACGATAAGTGTATCGATGAAAAAAAAAGAATTCTAAATATGGTGAGTTTTCTTTAGCACCCAATAGTGTAGTAATCCTAGCCTATCTTGATATTACTACATGTACCCAGGTGACTTTTCTTTAGCACCCGATAGTGTACTAATTCTGACCAATCTTTAAATTACTACCTGTACCCAGGTGAGTTTTCTGTAGCACCTGATAGTGTAGTAATCATAGCCTATCTTTAGATTACAAGATGTACCCTGGTGAGTATTCTTTAGCACCCAATAGTGTAGTAATCCTAGCCTATCTTGAGATTACTACATGTACCCTGGTGACTTTTCTTTAGCACCTGATAGTGTACTAATTATAGCCTATCTTTAGATTACTACCCGTACTCTAGTGAGTTTTCTTTAGCACCTGATAGTGTAGTAATCCTAGTCAATCTTTAGATTACTACCCGTACCCTGGTGAGCTTTTTTTAGCACCTGATAGTGTAGTAATTATAGCCTATCTTTAGATTACTACCTGTACCCTGGTGAGATTCCTTTAGCACCTGATAGTGTAGTAATCCTAGTCAATCTTTAGATTACTTACTACCTTCATCCTGGTGAGTTTTCTGTAGCATTTGATAGTGTACTAATCCTACCCAATCTTTAGATTACTACCTTTTTACCCTGGGGATTTTTTCGTTATTACCCAATAGTTTAGTAATCCTAGCCAACCTTTAGATTACTACATGTACCATGGTGAGTTTTCTGTAGCACCTGATATAGTAGTTATCCTTACCAATCTTTAGATTACTACCTTTTTACCCTGGGGATTTTTCGTTATTACCCAATAGTTTAGTAATCCTAGCCAATCTTTAGATTACCACATGTAACCTGGTGAGCTTTCTTTAGCTCCTGATAGTGTAGTAATCCTGTCCTACTACTTGTATTTAGATTCGTGATTATTTTTAGCACCTTTTTCTGTAGTAAGAAAATCCAGTGAATAAAACTATGTTATAAAGTTAAATGTAACTTAAATATATTTACACCAATTATTATAAAGATACTAGTCTTGTTCTTTCGATTTGCCCATGTCTATGGCTACTAATGAGGCTTGAAATTCCGCGAAACCCATATAGCTCAGTGATATATGATAAATCAAATGATAGAATAGCTTTCGTATTTCTTTATAATATTTGAAACAGCTCTTCGTCTATATAATTCACCAAAATATATTAGCAGCAAATCCTATATAATACAACTAAAACACAATACATCTACATTTTTTAATATTCCTACACTCAAAGCATTTATAAGGTGATAATATTGAAGTTAGAATTATGCCTAATAGAGATATTTCTGTTTTATCAAGTTCAGAAAGATTTGATAATATTAGTGTGATAATTCCGTCTTATCAAGTTCAGAAAGATTTGATAATATTAGTGTGATAATTCCGTCTTATTAGGTTCAGACAGTTATGATAATATTATTGTAATATTTCCGTCTTATTAACTTGAATTTCAGATAGGTATGATAAAATGTTTATGATAATTCCATTTTATTAGGTTCACACAGTTATGATAATATAACTATATATTTCCCTTTTATGAGGTTTAGACGGGTATGGTAATAGTATTCTGATGTTTCTGTTTCGTTAGGTTCAGCAAGGTGTGATAAAAGTATTGTGATATTTCTGTCTTATTAGGTTCGGACATTATATTGATAGTTCTGTCTTGTAGGGTTCACTCTGTTACCTGGTATCGTGTGTTTGAAACTTTTAGACATCTCCTTATTTGATAAACTTCGACTATCATGATTTTCAATTGCGGTACTTTACCTGTGCTTTATTGAGACCATTCTAATGAATGGTATTCGAATGTTTATGCTCGAGTTCCAGAATTTATTTCAGAAATGTCGACAAAAACACTGATCCGGAAGCAGCGTAGGATTGTGGAAAATGTGAAAGAGGTAAGCATTCTTTAACTTAATTATTTTATTCTAAAATTCCTTCGCCTTTTGAAGCTTTTATGACTTCAACAATATTTCCATTTCCAAACACATAATAGTAGTTTATTAAATTAAAATTATTCTAAATACATATCTTATAACTTAATTATCAACATGTCCAATTTTATTGATAAAAAAATTTGTAGGCATATAACTAGCTTGTGGTTAGTAAGATCAGAATGAGAGGTGAAGAAATATGCTTCGAGCCTTCTCTATACATAATCTTTACGTAAAATGTACAACAATGAATAGATACAGCAGAGATTAAGTCTAATCAAGATTTATTTATTCTTGCCATTTTCTTTTTTCAAAAAAATAATTCATTTAACAGAGTGTAATTGTTTGTTAATCTTTAAATCGAAACATTCGATAATATATTACAGTTTTATACTAAAGAATGAGAAAAAGACTGAATAAATGTTACTGCTGTTATGCATTAATAAGCATCTCTTGTTATACATAAAGTTATTTGAAATGAAGAGAGATTATCCAAATTATATTAAAAAACTGTAACGCTCATTTTTACACTGCATATAAACACTGTTGTTAGGAGAGAATGCAACAAAACATAGAAATCAAACACTGTGATGTTATTCAAAACACGGAATATAAACACTGTGGTTAGTTATGCGTTTAACCAAAACGCACAGAAATCGAAATCTGTGAAGTTATTCTTCAGAAGGAATATCAACACTGTTGTTAGAAATGCGAGCAACAAAAATTTTCAAGAAATCAAAGACTATGACTTTATCCTAGACACTGTATAAAACACTGTTGTTTAGAAAGGATCCAACAGAAGCGCAAACAAATCTAAACACAATATAAACACTTCTTTTAAAATTGAGTGTAACAAAACATAGAAATCAAAATATCCTGAAAGACATAAATTAAACAATTGTCTTTTTCTTATGTAAAGAAGGGTGAACCATAAATAAATGTGTGAAATTAAGATATATAATGATTATTAAACATCGTGTATTCTGAATACATTTGTTCACCAAGGGATCTTATTTATGGTAATTGATATGGAATCAAGATATAAAACTTAATGGTATTTCTTCAAAATTTTCTTAAGTTCATGAGGCTTACAAAAACAAATCAACATTAAAAGTTTAAAGAATATCAGGATAAAACAACAGGACAGCATCATATATATAATAAAAGCCACGCTCTGTTCGTAACGGTCCCTTTGTTGGTAACGCTTGACTCTTTCTTTATTGGTAACGTTCAACGTGGCTCAGTGGTTTGAGCAAGATATTACAATATTACAAGCAACAGCAACAGTTTACATTAGAGATTTGAATTATCTGTTAGCATTTGATTACAAAGATTGTGTCACAGTGATTATAGCACTCGACTATCATGTGGAAACCTCACATTCAAATCCCAGTAAAGTCATGATTTTATGATAATTTTTTTAAATATTTATTATCATATTTACAATAGGTTCTTTGGATATTCGGAAAAATACGAATATCAGTATCGATTAAATCGGAGATTCTATCATATTACATAAAAACACCAGTGTCTTTCTATATCAAACACAATTTAGATATCTTTTCAACTCAATAGATGGTGCTACAATACATTATTATTATTGATGTTTTTCAACATAGATGTTGATTTTTAAATATTTAGTGAAAAATATTTTAAGCATTTTTTATGAAAGGTTATATCTTCGTGCATTTGCCCTTTATCATAAAATTCATTGTCTTGGCCTTAATAGTTTATAAATTGCTAGACCAGACATTTGACCATATAGTAGCATTTCTTCGAGAACAAGATTTTTTACATGGTTCAATCTATAAGGCTTTATCAAGAAGAAAATTTGAAAATAACATAAATATATATGTATAAAAGTCAAAATTGTAATCAAGGACCACTTACAGGGAATGAGAAATATACACAAAAAATGTTGTTTTCATGAAATATTAGAAATAAAGTAAACTTTGTTACTATAATATAATTAATGTTTACAAAACAGATTCATAAAACATTTATGTATATCTTATTTTCAAAACAAAAACTAATCAGCGTTTACCATCATATGACAGGTAGCCAGTTAGTATATAATAAAAGTCAATTTAATCCTAGTCGAGCCGGGATTTTATATTTTTTATCATAATGTTTATTTTTGATATATCTGTTATCATATTTAAAACAAGATCTTAGAATATTTGGATAATTATTGATTAAATCAAAGATAATGTCATATTATATAATAAACACTAGTGACTGTATGTGTCAAAAACAACTAACGTAACTTTTCAACCCAATAGATGGTGTTACAATACATAATTATTGATGTTTTTCACCTTAGGTAGAAATTCTTTAAATTTGGTCAAAAATGTATAGGATTTTTTATGAAAACCGATATCTTCGTACATTTGCTTTTCACCATAAAATGAATTGCCTTTGCCATCACAATTAATAAATCTTAGACTCAGACATTTGAATATGTAGGCATATTTCTTCGAGAACCATTTTCTTCACATGATTGTACATAAAATAAAAATATACACCAGTCAAAATTCTAATCAAGGACCACCTAAAGTAAGAGTTAAAAATACACAAAAAATGTTGTTTTCGTGAAATAGTAAAAAATAATAAACATCTTTATACATACATTCTTACTATAAAATAACTGAGTTTTAGAAAACACATTTATTTAGATTTTATTTTCGGAAGAAAAAGATTGATCGGCTTGTTTTTGTTTTTTTTAGAGCAATGTTATATTGGGATACCTGCTGTGT